TGGGAGGATCACTTGAGCTCAGGAGTTTGAGACCAGCCTGAGCAAGAGTGAGACCCTGTCTCTACTAAAAATAGAAAAAATTAGCTGGGTGTGGTGGCACGTGCTTGTAGTCCCAGCTACTCGGAAGGCTGAGGCAGGAGGATCGCTTGAGCCTAGAAGTTTGAGGTTGCTGTAAGCTAGGCTGATGCCATGGCATTCTAGCCTGGGTGACAGAGCGAGACTCTGTCTTAATCAGTCAATCAATCAATATGTTTCTTGACAGAATTAAAAATAATGAAAACAATGCACATTGCTTGTTAAATGGGAAAAATGTTTTGAAAACTGTCATTTAGATTAAAATGCATTAAAATTAACTTGATAATATAATCTTAAAGAAAAATTTTCTTAATTTTAAAAATGTTTTCAATTTTTTTTTTTTTTGAGACAGGGTGTTGCTCTGTTGCCCAGGCTGGAGTACCATGGTGTCATAGTTCACTGCAACTTCAAACTCCTTGATTCAAGCAATCCTCCTGCCTCAGCTTCCTGAATAGCTGGGACTACAGGCACATACCTCCATGCCTGGCTAATTTTTCTATTTTTTTGTAGAGACAGGGTCTTGCTATGTTGCTTAGGCTGGTATTGAACTCCTGGCCTCGAGTGATCCTCCTGCCTTGACCTCCCAAAGTGCTAGGATATAGGCATGAGCCACTGTGCCTAGCTAAAATTGTTTTTAATAAGAAGTATTTTAAACTTAAAATTACTTCTTCATAATATGCTAGGCAAAAATGACAATGTGTATTAAAAGATTCTTAAGAGAGCTTGAGAGAGTATATATAGCTGTGAAAGAGGTTCTCTAATTAAACATGTTAGGAAATAATGAACTAGATGATCTCTAAGATCCCTCCTGAACCAAAATTTCACAACTAAGAGCTACGAATGCGAAACAATTGGAAACTAGTATAACACAACATATATTCATTAATTCAACAACTATTTATTGAGTGTCCATTGTATAGCAGCGGGCATTGGGAATATAAGAGTGAGAAAAAAATGTTAATTTTTGGTACCATTATTAAATAGTGTATGCTGAAGAAAGTATATATGTATATATGTATACATGCATACAGGCATATAAGTATATATGCCTAAACTCTAAAACTCTAAAAACCTTTAAGTGAGCTTTAAAACTTCTCAAATGCCCTAATTACCCAGCATTAAGTTTGGTCCCTGGTTTTGGAAAAGTTACCAAATAGACTACAGTCCTGTGAAGATCAATAATGACATCTAGAGGAGAACAGATGTAACTTCCACAGCAGAATGTACTGGATCAAAAAAATCCACCTAAATTCTATAGTAACCACAAACCTAGTTTATTTCTAGACCTCCCCTATTCACTCCCCGCCCAAAAAAAGTTGTGCACATAAGAGATACCTACCTGATGATTTCTACTTCCATGCATTACATACAGTAGCAAAAAGAAGTAGAATGTTTTCATCTGGTATGTAAAATAAATCTCTGCTTTTCCAAAAAACTCAAGTATATCCTCCCCAAAATAAATAAATCAGCTTCT